TTTCGGGAACTGTAAAAGACCCTTTCATCAAACAGTTTTGCATTTTTTTTCTGTACGAGGTAAAAGAAAGGATTGAGGTAGAATTAAAAAACCAAAAATATCACCAACAAAGTTAAACAAAAGTAACAGTAAATAGTGCATGCATTGATGATATAAAACTTTTACAATTATTCGACTACAAAGTGCCATGGGTAGCCACATATAATCAAAGTTTGTTAATTTGCATGGTAAGATAAATTTACTGTAATAAAAAACAGTAACTTTGTTTATGACCAGTAACCTTTATTACGTGTATAATTTCCCTCTTGTTCTTCTCATGTGACCTCAAAATGTTAAATGATCATTGTTCTTGAAAGAATACCCGTGTATCTCTCTCTCATGATTTGTGGCGATAAGTTGGCGTGCCACTGGCCAAACATATTCCCCCACGCCTTAAACCATTCCCATATTTCTCATTTCTTTCCTCACCAGATCCTAGGACTTTCCATTCCAACTCCTCTTTCTAGGGTTTGTTAAAGACTGAGGGATGGTCAAAAGGTACCTATAGCTTGCTCATGAACTCTTGGGCCTTTCGTTTCTTATAAGTACACATAATATTCTAGACTCGTGCATGTATATGGTTGAAGTGCCAAAAGTTCTGCTGGGGAAACATAAATTCCTCAATGGTCAGAAGAAGTCAGAAAGAATATGCTGCTATTTCAAGTCTTTTACTTTTTTCTTTTTCATTTCATGAAAAGGGTCCCCAAGGTGGATAATGGACAAGGACACCCAGCCATTTTCTTATTATAACTGAGATTTCTAAAAGCCTTCATGGCAAGGGACCTGTTGGCCCTCCTCCAATGAGGAAAGCTAACATGCTTTCTCAAGTCTTACTGTTCAAGGGAATATTTCAGTCACTATATGTGCTTTTTGCGTATTTAAAAGAAAAATCTTTTTCTTGTTATGATGCTGTTCTCTTCAAACTTTGACTCTTCTTTCTGTTTGATAAGGTTTTCTTTCTTTTTTGTGTGGGGGGAAACTTTGTTCTTTAATAAATCCTTCATGTCGTTATCCATATCCCATATTGTTCTTTCTAATATATTTTAAAACAATTTAGGTTAACTATTAGCTCTGTTCTCATTAAAAAAAGCAATTTTTTCTTTTACTTTTAAATATAAATAATTTGTAATTACTTTTACTTATTTTTAAGATATTTTAACTTTAATTCATCTACTAAATATTTTAGGATAAAGAGATTAAATTGGTTTTTTTATAAATAAAAATGAAGGTAAATCGTTTTTAAGAAATTAATTAATTAGATAGCTTAAAATAAAAAATCATTAGAAATTGCATTAAAAATACATTGAAAATCACAATAAAATGTATTCACGATATAAATTTTTTTTATCCATTTTAAAACTTCTAAACAATATCTTTGGATAATATTTTGTCTTTTCTAAATACTAGGATAATGCTTCATATTTTATTTTTAACTCATATTTATCTTTTAATTATGAGTAACTTTATGTATTTTTTATATATGTAGAGGCACATACTAGTAGTTGAATTTGAATTTAAGAGAAAATTTGAATGAAATAGAACCCCTGAGGAAGTTTTTGATGTATTGTGTTAAGGGTAGGAAAGTAGGTATAGTAGGAAGATGAAGATATGTTAATGAGGGAAGAATTTGCATCGAAAAAAGGTAAAAGGAAATAAAGAAGTTAGGGAAGGTTTGGAATATGACGGATAAATGTTTCAGCTATGCATGGCAACGAAGTCAAGGTTAGTTGTCTGTTTGCGAAGACAGTAAAGACACGCCAACTTCACTTGCTTACCCTTCCTTGTCCCTCTCTTTCCTTCCTTATCATGCACAATTTCTCTTTCATTACCCTTAACTTCCTCCCATGGCAGGAAAAAATTAAAATGAGAAAGGACATATGAGTATAGAACATGGTAGAACATAAATATATATCATCTTAGTGGGGAAATGTGAAATTGTGTAAGTGTTTTGGAAGATGAAAGTTCTACAAATAGAGTGATTATATGGAATAACTTAAAATATATGAGAGTAACTTTATATGGTACCATATTTGTCATGTGTAAATAAAAGACTCGATTAATTATCTATTTTTTAATGAGTTGTCAATATTTGAAAGGTTTATAATAAAGTACTTGTAAATTTCTTGAAAGTGTATTGGAATCAGATATAAAGTTTATAAACGAGGAATGGTAGGTGAGATAAAGGAAAATTTTTAGTATAAGGAATGTTGTGATGTAATAGCACTAGTGTAAGATTAGGCATGGAGGGACTATATTAGTAGCTTTAAATAGTAAAAGTGTGCATAAATTAGTGAGCTAGTAGAAATAACACTTTTAGAAGGCTAAGGATGTTTGTTTTGGTTTACAGGTAAAGAATGGAACTTTATTAACAAGGAAGTAGGGATATTAACTTTCAAATGATTTTTTTTCAAATATTTTAAATTCAAGATATCATTTTTTATATATATCTTTGAACTAAAAACATATTAAATCATAATTAAATTATAAGTAAATTTCTAATTCAAATTTATAAAATTATTAAATGTTTATTAATTTAAATTTTAGAATTGATATAGTTAGTTTTAGATTTTGAGAAAGAACTAAAAGAAAAGGTAAAGTTAAATACCATTCTAATTTGATATGGAAGGTCCTCCTGACCAAAAAACAAATAATTTAAGAGTGAGTTTTGCAACCTTAATTGTGTATTTAGAAATTAATTGTAATTTATTTTAGATGATTTCATAAAACCTACCAATATATATATTTAGGGAATGAAAATTTCAAAAATAGTTTAAAATCCATTCTAAAATATTCTACAAGACCGAAAAGACGAACAAGGAACATTTTGCATCTACGTGGACCACTGTTTTGGACATTATGCACTGTATATAGTAGCCACTGCAATACTCTGGTTGTTTCTTTCTGCTACTCCTTTTTTTTTTCCTTCGTGCACATCCACAAAACTTGTAAACCTTAAATTACCCCAACTAAAATTATAAAAAAAATAAATTAAACCTTAAATTACCTCTGACTAAAATTATAATAAAAAACAGAAATTACCCCTTCGCCTCCTTATTTTTAATGAACTGTGAACTTCTGAAATATATTTTTGGATTTAGAATTATATTCCAAAATATATATTCTAGAACATATATTTTTAATCTGAAAATACTTTTCAAATTGTATAATCTAAAATATATTTAAAAAAATATAATTTAGAATTATATTTCAAAATACATTTAAGAAAAAAATAACTATATTCTTTTGTCTCTAAATTATAATGTGATTTCTGTTTTAATCCTTATTTCAAACCTTATTATTGTTAGGTTCTCATACTTAAAAAATACTCTAATTTAGTTCATAATACCCAATAACATTAACTCTCTTTTTTTTATGTAATAAATGGTGTGTTATGTCACCCTTCTTTAATAGGACACATGTCCTGTCTTTAATTACACGTGCCAAGTGCACAAATTCAAGATCACGCTTCAGATCTCCATCTCTACCTTCCATCACTGCCATCCTTCATATCTATTCTTCCTATCACGATATCTTAATCACTCAATTGACCACACACGTATTCTCTTTCTCCATCTGCTTCATCTTCATTCTTAATCACAAAAATGCACTCTATAATACATCGGTACTTTAATCTGGGTTAAGTATTTGTGTCGTATACTTTAAGATACTGTATTTAAGATACTTTATCAGAAAAATATATCTAATCTATAAGATAGTAATAATTTATTATCTTGACACTGTTTAATACATATTATTTTAATTTGGATTCATATAATAACGACCATATATTATAAATGCCTACACCAAAAAAGAAAAATCTCGATCATTTACATATTGTTTAATATTATAAATTTTGTAATTTTAGGATTAAAAAAGAAAATGAAATATGCACATTAGAATGGAAAACACCATTATATATTGTTGTAGATGTTATAATGTAGAATCCCATTATACGTCGGTATAAATATATTTTTATAAAGAGATACTTGGTGCCTCGATATATTTTTAAAAAATAATAGTATATAATAATGATGGTTAAATAAAAAATAGATAATCCTTTTTTATATATATAAATTATCCTTTACTTTTTTTTATCTTCTTTCCTTTAATATAAATAATAACATTTTACTCTGTTTTTTTTTCTTTTCCATTCTTTCATTTACAATTTGTCGTTCTAATTAATCATAATAATCAGTTATGCATGGCAGAAAATTGATTTATAACCAGGTAGAAATGTAATTATTAGTCATCCTTTAATGATTGGATAATTTGTGCTTTCACAATGTCTTCTTTCGATTTAAATGAGTTTTAAACTTTACATATCAAAATACTCATAAAAATGCTAAATTTAGATAAGGAGAATAGATATGGGTAATGGCAACTAAGTTCAAAATAACAGCAATGAAAAATAAGAGTGCACTGACATATAAATATACCAGAAGTAAGATTAAAAAAGAAAGCATGCAAATGATAGATTTTACTTACATTTAGGATTATTTGAGTACCAGATCCATACACTTAAATTAAAACTATGGAGAGGTATTTTAGTAAGGTTCACAAGGCTGCGCTCAAAAACAATGGGCCGGTGGGCCCAAATAATAAAATAATATTAAATGGAAATAATTGGATCCATCTTAGCCGTTGATCTAGCATACTTCATCCATTCAAACAAAACGGTTCCGTACCCGCGTCGAAGAGAAACGGAACGAGTAACAACAACCATCACATTCTCTCCATTCTGTACATTTTCCCGCACCACGGGTTTTTCTTCGCCGCCAAGATATCTCTCGCTTTCGTTCTCGTAGATTTGAGTTCTCTGCGAAATCCTCCATGTTAGAGTCGGCGCTTCACGGCTTATCCGACGACGCTGATTACGCCGCGTCGCAGCAACAAGTAAGACTGTCATGTCACCTTCTCATTTCACGAATTCCTGTGACCTGTTTCTTCATGTGATCAATTTGCGTTTCAATCAGAGTTTCCGCGATTCAACTGAATGTTCCGCTCACACGCTGCCTTTTATTCTTAAATTTAGCTGACTTTACCATTATTTTTTATCTGATTGACTGGGATTACGAATCTGCTAGCGTGTGCTGCAGAGTGACAGTACCAAACAGAGCTCCCCTCGGGACGGTGCCGAAGTTGTATTCACGAAGGACAATGTCGCAATTCATCCGACTCAGTCTGCGTCTGAAAGAATCACTGGAAGACTGGAATTGACTAAGCAAAGCTCGTCTTTATTTATGGTAATCTTTGATTTTTTGCAGTTACGTTTTGGTCTTGTATTACAATTAAATTAATGTAAGTGTCTTCTTGCCGCTTTTAGACTTGGATACCTTACAAAGGGCATAGCTCAGCAGAGGCCAGGCTGTCTGATAATTGTAATTTACATTCTGTATGACTTTACTGCCCTGTGCAATGTGATACATATGTTGATCTTGTTTGTTTTTTTTTTTTCATTCATGCTCAGAAAGAAACATTTATACCGTGCCCTTCGCTGATATCAGGTCCATCCGGAAGCATACCCCTGCTCTTGGGTGGCAATACATCGTTGTTGTTCTATCATCAGGTGAATTACTGTTTGTGAATACAGTGAGTTTTATATTTATAAGTACCTGAGAACATTTGAAGTGTTGACTGATTGCTTTAGCCGTGTATAGCAATGGAAACTTTTATACATAGAAGGTTTCTTGAAGTAGGTGATAGAAGGTGAGAAAAAGAAAGATTTTCTTTCTTGATGCTTGACCTTGAAGTAATTTGAAAGAGCAATTCATTTATTGGTGATTTGAAATTTCTTTGGGTAAAATATCTTGTTTAGATTAGGAAATTTGAGGAAATAGAAATCTTTAGAAGGGATATCAAATAACTAGTAAAATTTGAAATTTTCTCAAAAATATCTTTTTAAAGTTTACTAATATTTATTTAAAGTTTAATTTTAAAATTTTATATTTTAAAATGGAATTTTATTTTAAAAGAAAAGTTTGATTACTTTATTCAAACAAGAAAATTAAAATATAAATTATTTTAATTACTCTGTCCAAAGACTATTTAAAATATCGAAAGAATTCAATTGCATTCAATTCAAATGTCATTCATTTCTATTTCTTGAAAATTTAGAAATCTTTAATCCAAACAGAATGTAAGAGTTTATTCCACTCCCACTCAGTGGATTTATCTGTTTATAATAAGAATGGTTGCATATATACTATTTAACTACTATTATTTCCAAGAGAACAGTTAAAATGTGACGACTTCGTAACATAGATACATTGAACTCAGCTAAACACTAACCAAGCTAATTGGAAGGTTAATAAACTGAAAGTACTTTTTTTCCAACGTAGATGAATGTATCTCTCCATGTGATTTACTGTGATGCATGGATGTACGGTTAGTAACTTTTGAAAAGTTTATGAAAAGGGTACTACCAGAGTCTTGTAATATGATAGTTGAAAAATAAGATTGTGAATTTAGAAATGTTGAATAAAATTTTAAGAATGTCATATCTTTCCTTTTCATTCATAGTGGCCTTTCACTATGGGATTTAAATAGAGGAGCAGTGGGTGTGGTTTTCTATAATGCCGATATAAGCCAAAACAGTGCTTGCTTTCGCTACCATGGTATAGGGTTCAAAATTCTACCTTTACTTTTGAAACATTGTTTGTTGTTATTGGGGGTAAAGTATTCATGAATGTTGCATCTTATTTGAATTTGATTCTTCCAGACATTATAGGAGTACTTCGTATCCTTCTTTCTTTAGACTTCTTCTCCAGTTCGCTTTCTGATAATTTTTTGTGTACTTTATTTTGACTTCTTTATTAATTTCATTATTCTGTTTTTGTAGCTCATAGTTTGATGGTGATTATTGTGACTTATTGTTTATCATGAATTTTTTATTTTCTTCGTATTTATATATGTAGTATAAGTTATTTAGTTTGTATTATGGCATTTAAAATAGCAGTCATCCCGCCTCCTGCTATCCTGTTGTAGTGTTTTCAGAGTTAGCTTATACGTGTTCCACTTCCAAGAGTATGTTTTTCATAATACATGTCAGAAAATACAATTACGTTTTCTGTTTTGATTATTTTTCCAATCTTAACGCATTATGATAATTCCTTTTAAAGGAGTGGTGCATTTCGTTGCATTTCAACACCATCATGAAGTGTTTTCGCCAAATTTGGTGCGTCCATGCTTGTAACATCAATTTCTATTAACTAAATATGAATATTTGAACCTTTTCCAAGTGTTTGAATACCAAGCTGTGATTTGTACATTCAATCTGTACGCTGCATTTGTATTTATTAAATTGTTGTCTTGTCTTTTTATTTATCTGCTGTTGAACTTAATTGCTGGCTGAGTGGCTGTATGGCCTCCCTTTGAAAGGCTATTATGGCTCACTGGTATTCTGAATAACAATGAGTTGGTAAATAAGATGTTTCTGTTTTCTTGGTGACAGTTGTATCTATGGCAGCTCTAGATATTTGACTCAGTCTATAGCTTATTGTGTGGATAAAATTTTGCAGGACTTGCTTTTCCTCCATTCTATTTATATAGTGGAGGAGTCAAAGAATTATTTGCTACAATAAAGCAGCATGTTCTTCTTGTGAGGTTAGCCTCAGATAGCATGTGATAGGTTCCTGGAACCTAATCAAGAACTTCCTTCTTGACACAAAATGACGCAAGGTATGAATGAAACTGTGTAGTATTGACAAAAAGAATGTCTGTACAACAAGAAAATAGAGGCTTAACTCTCTCCACAGGTCAATACCTGTTTTACAATCTAATCACCAAAGGTCACATCCCTAGACAACCCTTTCCCTATTTAAAGACTCCTCCTAAACTGAACATAACACCCCACCAGGACAGTTATCCTACCCCTGCTTCCTAACTGTCCTAACAGACCCCTAAACCCCTCTAACAACTATATTTTATTATTGTCTTCCCTTCCTTCTAAGGCCCACATTCATATCCTATCAGCATGTCTCTACTGATATTTTTGAATTTACTTTTTCATTTGGCATTGTTGATAGTGCCATGGCCAACCTTACGTAGCTAGTTATTCCCCCTGCATTTGTTTTCTATGGATTTATATGATGTTTTTCTTCCACTGTGTGAAATTGACTAACCTGAAATTTGGTATTGTTTAAATGTCAGCAAAACGATTTTTGTTTGACATCATTGCGATTATGTGCAAAGCTTAACCATTTTTAGTTATGAGGTAGTGAGAGGTATGTGCCACATTCATGACATCCTAATAAGTGCAGTGTTTATTGAAAAGATGGAGAATCATCATCATGCCCATTTTCTACGCATGTAGATTGTGTTTGGAAATACACACTAGCCTTTTCCTCCTTTGTGCACATCAAGATCACTCTTTAGTGTTGGGTTATTGGACTCCCTTCCTATGTGGAGAATAGGCCCAAATAATGTGGACCATTATGTCTCATTAGGTTAAATAGATATGGGTCAGATTAGTAGGGCACATTAGAGTCATTTGAAGAGAGGCAAAAGCCAAGTGAGAGAAAAAAGAAGAGAGAAAGTCTTTCTTGCATAACCCTAAATCTGCACTGGTATTTTTGTCGTTGTGAAGTCGTTCACCGTTGGATCGAGTTGATTTTTGGACAGTGGGTTCCAGACATATGGTTTTTCATTCTGACCATTCGGATCGTCAATCTGAGGTCTAGTTTGGGAGAAATCAGTCCCGCACCAACAACCCTATTTTGGAGAATTTTCATCTTCTTTGTTCTCATTTGTAAGCATTTGTGCTTAGTTAAATTGGCTTATTGAAAATATCATTTGGTAAAAAAAAAAAATACCAAATGATATTTTCAATAAGCCAATTTAACTAAGCACAAATGCTTACAAATGAGAACAAAGAAGATGAAAATTCTCCAAAATAGGGTTGTTGGTGCGGGACTGATTTCTCCCAAACTAGACCTCCGATCCGAACGGCCAGAATGAAAAACCATATGTCTGGAACCCACTGTCCAAAAATCAGCTCGATCCAATGGTGAACGACTTCACAACGACGAAAACACTAGTGTAGGTTTAGGGTTATGCAGGAAAGACACTAGTGTAGGTTTAGGGTTATGCAGGAAAGAGGCTTTCTCTCTTCTTTTTTCTCTCACTTGGCTTTTATTTCTCTTCAAATGACTCTAATGTATCCTACTAATGTGACTCATCTCTATTTAACCTAGTGAGACATAATGGTCCACATTATTTAGGTCTATTATCCACATAGAAAGGGTTCCCAATAGCCCACCATTTAGTGTCGGCATGATTCTAGTAAAACCTTTACAATGCCAAATTCATGATCAAGTTTATTGCATCAAGACAAATAATATTATATTTGCAGCACATTTCTATGATTTCTTAGTCAAGTTTTCATGCAAATTTGTTCTTATAATCTTACTTGTTTACCCAATGTAGATCTGAAGAAGATGTCAACGTATAAATTGTAAATGATGATATTCAGAATAAACTGCAGGTATGGGCGGTGTGATATTCAATTGAGTTTGTTTGGTTTTACTGCTGGATTATAGACTCATTCTATCCTTTGTGGATGAAAATAATATTCTCCAAAGAACGAAAATTTACATTAGTGATAGAAGATCATAAGCAACTTGCTCCTCATTCTCACAGTTCAAATGTTAGTAACTTTTTTCTTCTTCTTGCTGGAAGAATGAGATGAATTATAAGGCTTTCTGATAATTGAATATTAAGCCATTTAAATTGGGTTGCTATGTTATTTCTAAACACTTGCAATGACTTCCAGAAGACTTAATCTTCCTTGGAGCTGCCCAGAACTGTTCCCTTGCATGTGGAATACGACAACTTCAGCTTGTATTTCCATTGTTACTAATAAAATTATTGCTATAAAAAGATTTAAATATTCAGATTCACTTCACAATCCTAGTTATGCGCAGTATTTTAAGTTTATGTTAATGATTTAGTTTTAAATCCAAATTTATACTTTTTATATTTTAAATTTAATCTCACTAGTTGAATTGAAATGGAATATTGATTGGATATTTTTTGCATTTAAAAGATTCAAATTTTATTTTCATCCTAAATACCTTTGTTTGGTAATTTTTTTTTTTGTTTTGTTTTGGTTAAGACATTCTTTTACTCAATATATAGAGTTTTTTGGATTTCGATCATAATATAGATGTTGCTGGAACGAACTCAACTGCAGTATTATTGATTATTATATTAATAAAGAGATTGATTCGTCATATAAATTATTAATTTATTTCATAAAGACTTTTATTAAAGAAAAGAAACAAATAATAAGTATCTGTATTAAAAATAAACAAATATATAGAATATATAAAAAAATAATTAAACAATAAAAACATATTATCTAAAGACATCTTAGTTAACATAAAGATAAAAAACAACTTTTTCATAATAAGCTTATGTTAAAAAATAAATAAATATAAGATACAAGAAATCATACCAACCCATAAAAAAAACATACAAAAGAAAATGTAAAAACCTGAAAATTTAGATTTTAATGAGTGAATTAAAATATATTATACTAATAGAGTCAGATTTCTATTTCAGTATAAAAATATATTTTGGACAAACTTGGTTCATTAGCCTGCTTTCATTCTCTCTTTAAAGCTCAGAACTTCAAGTTCCTCTGTCTTCTCTCTAACCTTCACACTCACTGACTCAATGCATGTTCGTTTAGGTGATGTCCAAGCGTCCACAACGTAGAGGGCTTTATTTTGAACCGATTACTTCTTTCATTCGGACCGGTAAGTAGTTCTTCTTTTTCCTCCTCTGTTTTGGAACCTAGGGCATGCTATTTTACTTATTTCATGCAACTAGAAACCTTCTCCTTCAATTTCTTGTCAAAACTTAGCTCTAAAGAGTTGTTCTATCACCCATTGGGTGGTTTGTAGGGTTTGGTTGAGTTCTTGCTGAGTCAGGCACTGTTGAATCAAGTTGTGAGCTTAGCTGCGAAACCCTAAGGTAAGAGGAGCTAGAATACTTTCTTATAAGTTGTTATATGTTAGGTGTATGGATTGATTTATGCATCATTGTGTTGTTTGTGTTGCGTTTTTAAGTTTTGAGTGTATGGAATGTTATGTGCTGAAATGTTCATCTGGGAATCTGTGAACTAATGCTTGTGAATTGATTTAAACGTGTTGTGTGACTGCAATTGAGGATGTTAGATGAGTAAAATCTAAGGTAGCAGCTGTATGTTTAAAGTTAAGAGGAATGGTAGTGTTTTGGGTCACTTGAGAGGAAGTGAGGTGGTGATTTTGGGCACTGGAGGTCTTGTGTGTTCTTGTGCTGTTTGGGTAGCTCAGATAGGTCAATTTTGACTTGTTAGGAAACTCAAACTGGTCAAAAAAAAGTTACAAGTAGTAGAATTGGATTTGGGTCCCTAAGTTGTTGATTTTGGTATTCTATAGTATAAATTGAGTCTAAATCACCTTAGAATTGTAGTAGGAACGTTTATAATCATCTAGACAAGTTCAATTAGGTGTAAAACAAGAATTAAGGGTGTTAGAAATTGGGGAAAAGGCCTGGAAATGGTAAGGGCTGGTGTGAGTGCATGATTTTGGAGAATTTGCGTTCTGCAGATGATGCAGAATCGCTATGCAAGCTGTCTCGCATAGCGAGTCCCTGTAGAGAGTGCTCACTGTCTGGGTCATTCGCTGTGCGAGCTGGTGCGCTGTGCGAATGACTGGAGAGTGCTGCTCTCTGTCTGGAGATTCACATAGCGAATCTCGTCTCTATGCGACTGGGGGTGGTATGGAGTCACTACTATTTTAATTCGAAGGGCGAGTTTGGGCGCATAGCGATTCTTTGGGAGGGGTAGTATCTGTCTAGGTTCTCATATAGCGACCTGGGTGCACTATGCGAGAGGTTGAAAGTCTGGTGCATGCTGCGTTCGCTATGCGAATTAAGGGTGCGCTGTGCGAATCCTCTGAGTCCAGAGTTCACTTTTGCTCTTGTTTTGGATGAATTAGGTGTGTGGAATGTTTGGAATGCATAGTATGATGGTGGTAATGTGATTGTATTGAAGTATGCGAGTGTATGAGACATGTTTGGTGATTGAAAGTATGTGGTTTTAAAAGTATGGTTATTGGACGTAATTCCATGATCTTCAAGGAGATGATCCATGGTGGTGCCCTTTGTGTGTTTTAAAATGATTTGCATGGTAGCTCAGTCTAAGGGGTTATCCTGAAACTACAATGGTCAATCATTCTCAAGTAGAGAGGATTGAACCATGTCGTGAGTAGTAGCAGGAGTTCCTAGTCTTGGGTGCTTCCAGTATGGCCCAAGGTGAGTGATAACAGACTAACCTCATGAGTGTGGTAGGGGTGAAAACCATTGGCAATGACTTTGCAAAGCAGTAGAGGCCACCACGAATGCATGACCCGTCATAGCTCGGCAAACATTCTAAGTCCAAACGAGTCAAGTTAAAATGCAACAAGTCATGTTTGCGTAGCGTAGTATATGTCCTTACTTGTATATTGCCTGTGACTGTTATAACATGATTTTTGTATGTCTAGCTCACCCTTGCTTCTGTGGTTGTCTTTTGTTTGTGTTGTGTTTCCTGTTGCAATGATCATCCACTTGGATGTGAGCATAGATTGATGAGGTGTCTCTAGAGCAGGCTTTGGAGAAAGACGATGCTGCAGCTTAGTCTAGTTATGACTCTTAGTTGTTCCTTATCATCTTGAAATACTCTATTATGTTTAAGTTTTAAATTATAACTAAGTTTGAGATGACTGTAACCTTAATACTTTATTTACGGTCTTTTTCTAACTGTTCTATTATATTAAAATGTGGACTTACTATATTATATAAGGATTTTACATATATTACATAAAATATTACGAATTAATATGAAAAAACTCTAAACCAAAAATGTTAAATCATTTTTACAGAATAAATTTTAAAAAACAATAATTTTTGTATAGTGTAATATGGAATATTTTTTTAATTACACAATCTAAAATAATATTATATTTTAACATATAATTTTTTTTAATTATACAATCCAAAATAAATTTCTATAATGACTATCAAATTCAATATTCCATTTTGAAATCCGCAATTGGTTTTTCTTTATATATGACTTTTTTATTTTAAAATAGGCTTCCAAATTATGAAGTCCTTAAGATATGAAAATGAATACAAAAAATTCAATTAAAAATGTCCACGATTAATTTTATCTTTTATACACCTATTGAGATGTGTAAAGAGAAATATTCTTAAATAACCACCTATAAGTATAAAACAAAACAAAATTAATGAAAAAGGTAGCATAAAGTTTACCAAAAAGATCCAAACATCATGCGTGAAATTATTAATTAATTCGTTAGCCCATTTTAAATGCTTGAAAAATAGATTGTTAAATTCAACTCAAACAACTCAAATTTGTTAGGATTACGCTCTCAATTATAAGTTTAAGAAATCTAACTTAGTTAATCTCAATTTCTTTCTCTCACTTAACCTAAGTGAAAAAGTGTCTTATGGAATAATAGATAATATAAATTTCGCAACCTTTGAAAGAGAAAAATAGAGAATAAATTTATTGGTATCACAAAAGTGACCATCAAATCAACATATACTTTGGAAACATTGTCTTCTGTTCAAATAAACTAAAATTCTCACAAAGCATGTGTTTGGATTAGATAGTGAATTTAAAATAGTGGAACAAGAAGAAAATGAAAAAGTTAGTCAAAAGTGAGGTTGTATGAATTAAAATTAGAAAATTTTCGCAGTGAATTTGATTAAGTGATAGAATAAATTTTCAATACATTTTAAAAAAAAATCATAAAATTAATTTCTAAAAATATTTTGATATATGTTTAAAAGCATAATTTGTAAAATTATTTTTTAAAAATATTTTTATTTTAATTAATTAATTATTTTAATATAAAATATATGTTAACAAAAGTATTATATTTATTTCATTAATTATTTTAATTATTCGTTTTAATATAATAATAAAATATATCTATAAACATTTAATTATTATATGTTACATATTAATTTAAAAGTATGTAATAAGATTAATCGATTAAATATAATAAAAATTTAATTATGTTTGTTTTTATTACACTTCGTTTTTCTCTTTTTTCATGAGATAAGAAAGTTTTAAAAAATTATTTTGATTTTCGTGTTTTTTTCCTTCAATCAAGATATACAATCAAGACTAGCCCACAAATTATTTGTGTATTTTTCCTTCAATCATCCAATCAATGCCACTAGCTTTCCATACAAATTCACCCCTTAACTTTCTCAAGGAGAGGGAAGCAAACAAGGTTAGTCAAGATCCTTAAATTCTTAGGCATAAAATTAAATTAAAAATGAGAGAAGTTTCTTTGTAATGTCCACAAGGCGGTGAATAGAAAAAAAGGTGAATAAATGAAAGTTCAAGAACACCGGGCCGGTGGGCCCAAAGGATAAACATATTATTAAATGGAAAATAAATCGATCCATCCCAGCCGTTTATCTCGGATACTTAAACCATTTTCTCGAAACGATTCCGTACCCGCGTCGAAGACAAACGAAACGAGTAACAGCCATTACGTTCTCTCCATTCTCTAATTTCCCCGCACAACGGGTTTTCCTTCGCCACCAAGATATCTCTATTTCGTTCTTGTAGCCTTTAGTTCTCTGCGAAATCCTCCATGTTAGAATCAGAGGTTCACGATTTATCCGACGACGCCGATTACGCCGCGTCGCAGCAACATGTAAGACCGTCGCCCTTCTAACTTCACGATTTGTCGTGACCTTTTGCTTTTTTCGATCAATTTGCGTTTCAATCAGGGTTTTCGGCGATTCAATTGAATACTCCACTCATGCACTGCCTTTTATTCTTAAATTTGACTGACTTTTCCATTTTTCTTCTCGGATTGATTGGGATTAGGGATCTGCTAGCATGATGCTGCGGAGTGACAGTACCAAGAACTCCCTTCGGGAAGATGCCGAAATTGTATTTACGAAAGAAAATGTCGCAATTCATCCGACTCAGTTTGCATCTGAAAGAATCAGTGGAAGATTGAAATTGATTAAGCAAAACTCGTCTTTGTTTATGGTGATCATTAATTATTTTAGTTTCTTTTTGGTCTTGTACTATTAATTATTAATTAAATCAAATGTCTTCTTGCCGCTTCTAGACTTGGATACCTTACAAAGGGAATAGCTCAGAGGCCAGGCTGTCTGATGATGGTAGTTTACATTCTGTATGACTTTCTTGCTCCGTGCAACGCGATCAATACGTTTATTTTTATTTTTTTCCATTTCATACTCAGAAAGAAACCTATATACCATAAAGGCGGTGTCCTTCACTGAAATCAGGTCCATCCGGAGGCATACTCCTGCTCTTGCGTGGCCATATATCATCGTTGTTCTATCATCAGGTGAATTACTCTTTATGAATACGGTGGGTGTTATATGTTTTTTTTTTTATAATTGTTTTGTTCTATATTACACTTCTGGCCTTCTATAAACCAGGTAGTTTATTTTTTAGGTGTATTTACCCATATCTTATATGAAATCAAGAGGTACACATGACTTGATAATGTAATAACAAATTGGTCACAGGGTGTTAATTCCAGTTATTCTGGACATAAGTTCAATATCTTGGATGGATGATAAATAATTCTTTTGTAGGGCAGGTGACTTAAAATTTCTACATGTGTTCTGCCCTTTTCTGGTAAGCTAACTGATGTGCTGGTGTATAATTCATCTGGATTTTAATCTGCAGACAGTGCATAAGTGGATACCCTTCCATAGAACTCAAAATTGGTTATTAAAGTTTAAGAATTGGGGTTATCAAAATTTGCGCTGAAAACCCATCAGCCAGCACTGACTTCTATATGCCTAACGAAAACCAGAAGGGAACCTAGTCTAAGCATGCCAGCCTGATTGAATAAAAAGCTAACTATATGTGAACATTTCAAGTGTTGTCTAATTGGTCTAGCCGTGTCTAGCACTGGAAAAGTTAATAGAAGGTTTCTTTAAGTTGGTGATAGAATGTGAGAAAAGGACAGATTTTTTTTTAATGTACTTGATCAGTTTATAACATAAATGGTTACAAAAATACTATGCCACTACTATTATTTTCAAGAGAACGGTTAAAATGTGGCAATTTCCTAAGATAGGTGTATGGAACAAAGCTAATTGGAAGGTTGATAAACTGTAAATGCTATATTTCCAACATAAATGAATGCATCTCAATCTGTGATGCATGGATGTAGGCTCAGTAACTTTTGAAAAGTTTAGGAAGGGGTTCCTGCGAGAGTCTCTTGTTTCTAGAGGACAAGGAGTTTGTGTTATGTTGCTTAAGAAAGTATCAAGAAGATCCCCATTGGATATTAAGATAACAAGGTTATCTAGATGTGAAGATTCACTTTAATAGACTCGATAATCATAAGAAATAAGAGAAGATTGATTCAAGATAAGCAAATAAAATGAACAAAATGACAAGACATAATCATAAAGGAGCAGAAGCAATGAACATAATATAAAGGGATTTGAAATAAAGAAACCGCATGAACCAAAGTTCAAGATAAGATCAAAGGATGAGCTCACTCTCAAAGAGAGGCACCCACAACCAAAAATGGCTATAATAACTTCTTCATTCACCAACACTTTACAAGTGGGGAGGAGATCCTTTTAAATAGGCTTAGAGTGGGACCTCCTAGCAATAATACAAAGATGAGGGATACACTAGCAAAATCACAAAGTATCTTTCTAGAAGCCTAATGATGAGGGAAGGTGATAATTCTCCAATCATTTGTAAAATCTTCAAAAAGCGCATTCTCTCTCCTTCAAGTGTGCATAGCCCTCACTCCAAGATGCTCTCTTCTCCACTTTCATGAAGCTCTCTTCTCCACTTCTAAGGGTGTCTTCTTAGCAAAACTATGGGTGTGGTGAGTACACTCCTTGGTCTAGCGTCCTCCTAAGCCCTTCATTCCTCTAAAAGGTGACAACCTTAAAAGGGGAGGTGCTACTATCAAATCTGCAAAACCCAAGACACAAACATGAGTCTAGAATTTATTTAAGACAAAAACTAAGCACACTAATAGAAGAAAGGTCAAGAAACCTCCCTCCAATCTTGCTTATTTTCCTTAAACACTTTCCTCCATCCTTGATAGGGGTTTGGGACTCATCAGTCTTGTAATATGATAGTTGAAAAATAAAGTTTAGTGTATTTAAAAATGTTAAATAAAATTTAAAAAATGTCATATCTTTCCTTTTTATTCATAGTGGTCTTGGTCAATATGGGATTCAAATAGAGGAGCAGTGGGAGTTGTTTTCTATAATGCCTATAGAAGGAAAAACAGTACATGCTTTCCCTACTCTGGTATAAGGTTCAAAATTCCAATTTTACCCTTGAAGTATTGTTTATTGTTGTTGGGGGGTAATATATTCATGACTGTTACATTTGTTTTGACCTTGATTACTTCCGACATTATAGGAGTACTTCTTATCCTTCTTTCTTTAGACTTCACACCCATTTTACTTTCTGATAATTTTTTATGTACTTTATTATGACTTTTTTATTAATTTCATCATCATCTTTTACTTTTTTTTGGCTTCATTACAATGTTTTTATTGCTCACAGTTTGATGGTGATTATTGTGACTTATTGTTTATTATGAATTTTTTTAGTATTTATATATGTAGTATAAGTTATTTTGTATGCATTTAAAATAGCAATTATTCTGCCTCCTGCTATCATTTTTTAGCTGATTCGTTCCACTTTCTAAGATTGAGTATGTTTTCAATAATAAATGTCAGAAAATACAATTACGTCCATTTGTTTTTGATGATTTTTTCAATCTCAATACATTTTGATGCTTCCTTTTTAAGCAGTCGGTGTATTTTGTTGCATTTCAATACTATCATGAGTTGTTTTTGCCAATGTTGGCGCACCAATGCTTGTAACTTCAATATGAGTTGTTTTTCCAAGTGTTTGAGTACCAAGCTGTCATTTCTTGATTTGTATGCTTCATTTGTATTGATTAAATTGTTTTGTCTTGTCTTTTTATTTATCTGCTATTGAACTTAATTGCTGGCTCAGTGGCGTATGACTTCCCTTTGAAAGGTTGTTATGGTTCATTTCTGAAGTAATCTCTGTTAAATTTATCTAGTTGTAGTATTTTGAAGTATTCTGAATAACAATGATTTGGTAAATAAGATGTTTGTGTTTCTCGTTGACACTATTTACATCCCTGGCAGCTCTAGATGTTTGACTCGGTCTATTCCTTATTATATGATGTGTTCTACAATTCAATCTTGTCTGGATAAAATTTTGCAGGACTTGCTTATCCTCCACTCTATTTTTATAGTGGAGGAGTCAAAGAATTCCTAGCTACAATAAAGCAGCATGTTCTTCTTGTGAGGTTAGCCTCATATCATGCCTCTACTGATTTTTTTTATTTTTTTTAATTTTCTTTTTAATTTGGAATTATTAATATTGTCATAGCCAATCTTATGTAGCTAGTTGTTGATCCTGCATTTGTTTCTCTGGATTTATATGATGTTATTTCAATGTGTATGAAATGATGAACATACAATTTGGCAGTGTTTTATTGATCAGAAAAATTAATTTCGTATGATATCATTATGTATTATTTGCAAGAGTTAACCATTTTTAGTCATGAAGAAGTGATGAGGTATGTGCAACATTCATGACATCCTAATAAGTGCAATGATTTTTTAGATGATGGAGAATCATCATCAAGCGCATTTTCTACAGTTGCAGATTGTAATTTACAAATTTACATAAGCCATTTCCTCCTTTGTTCACATCAAGATCACTCTTTAATGCTACCATTATTCTTATATTATATTTGCAAGACAAATGATATTATATTTGCAGCATGTTTCTGTGATTTCTTATTCAAGTTTTTCATGCAAGTTTGTTCGCATAATCTTATTCTTATGCCTAATGTAGATCTGAAGAGGATGCCAACGTATTCCTTGTAAATGATTTTCAGAATACACTGCAGGTATGAGTTGTTTAATATTCAATTGACTTTGTTTGGTTTTCCTGCGGGATCATAGATTCATACTATCCTTTGTAGATTGAAAATAATATTTTGCAAAGGAGAATTTACATCAGTGGTAGAAGATCATAAGCAACTTGTTCCTGTTTTGTTCTCATTCTCACAGTCCAAATGTTAATAAATTGTCTTGCTAGAAAAATGAGATGAATGAAAGTGCTTATGTCTATAATTCCCTTAGGTCTGTGAAGCCCTTTTTTTATAATAGTTAAATATCAAGCTATTTAAATTGGATTGCTATATTTTTTCTAAACATTTGCAATGACATCCAGAGGACTTTGTCTTCCTTGGAGCTGCCCAGAGCTGTTCCCATTGCATGTGGACCTTCAAATCTCTCTGTTGATGAATCCGTTCTGAATGAGAACCAAGGAAGGGCTGATAATGATGTCAATAATGGAAGTTTTAGTGCTGCTCAGTTCCATGGGAGACCTAGTCATAAAGTAGATCCTGCTCGAGACCTCTCTATTAATGTTTTAGAGAAGTTTTCGCTTGTCACAAAATTTGCCCGAGAGACAACATCACAACTTTTTAGGGAAAACCATAGTAATGGATTCAGTGAGAGGAGGACCCATGCCCAGACTAATCTTGATCATCATCCTAGGAAGTCTTCCCTCGTTGAGGAAAAGACTTCTGATGAAAGTTGTGTTGCCTTGGATTCTCAGGAGGTAACCTATTTTTCTTGCATCACAACTGTAAATTTTAGTTTACTATCTGCATGGAAACTTGTTTTTTCAGGCACAAGAATTATTGTAATTAGAAATGTTTGGTGTGCCTACTTTGTTGGTATCTTCTACCCTGAACGTAATTAACTTACAATGAACAGTGCGATGGCATTGACTAATGATCTGATGTGAGATGGAGGCCGTTGTGAAGCTTCTGATCTGGGTTACTCTAATAGTTCCATTGGCTACTTTCAAGATATTTCATTAAGTACAAGGTTTTTTAATTTGCTGAGGTAACAGGCATCAATAAGTGCTTCGTTGATGAAAGAAACAAATATTAGAAAAGGATAAAACAATAGAAGTATTGTACTATTTTGTTCATATTTAAGGTGCTAGGATTTGTTCAATGTCATTGTTGGAAGTTCCACATCGACTAGAGATAAGGCCATTTTCATAGTTTATAAGTGGGTGCAAACCTCACCCTATAAGCCGGTTTTGTGGAGTTGAGTTAGGCTTAAAGTCCACTTCTAACATGGTATCAGAGCCATGGTTAGAGCCTATCCTAGCGATATTTGTTGTTTGCTGGACATATTGTTCCACCCGCTATCGGGCCGCTATTGGACCACCCATTAAAAATGTCTAATCCCACGTTCGAGATGTATATACCTCGACATGAGGAGGTGTGTTGAAAGTCTCACATCTACTAGAGATAAGGTCATTTCATAGTTTATAAGTGGGTCCAAACCTTATATTATAAGCCGGTTTTGTGGGGTTGAGTTAGATTTAAAGTCCATTTTTAACAGTCACACTGACTTATTAAAAATGACCAATTAAAGTCAATTTCCTTGTCCATGTGTTAAGTTGGCTTCTGTAAATCTGTGATGAATAATTTGAAATTGTGGAGGTAATATCATAGTGTCTACTGTTATGAATTGATTTGGCATACTTCTTATATTTGTAAAAAATTGCTTGTCCATAGCTGTTGTGCATAATCTTAATTTTATGGAGGAAATATTATATTTAATTTCTACTGTTTTGAATTGATTTAGAATACTGCTGATATTTTTTAAAAAATTGATTGTCCATAGCTGTTACATATAATCTGAAGTTTGTGGAGGTAATATCTATTTAGTGTCTATTTTTATGATTTGGTTTTGGATACTCTGCTTATATTTGTATAAAATATAGTGTATTTTCCCCCGATTCCCTTTTCCACTGTACAATATTAATTATATGGTCTTTTGTCTCTCTTCTGGCAGTTTGATAATTTATCATTAGTATGGGGAAAACCACGGCAACCACCTCTAGGTTCTGGAGAGGTATGAAATGTATATTTGATATAATAGATAGTATTTCTCATACAGGCTGCTAAAATCATCATATTATGTATAAGATCTTCTTTTGCATATACTCTTTTGCATGATGGCCGTTGTAAACGTGCAATTTTTGCTTATTGTTTCTTTTGCAAATGATGCAATCTGTTGGTAGCTAAGGCCTCTTATTAGGAGTGTTTAACGGTAGAATAAATTGGAGAAACAGAGGATAAGCCCCTGAGTAATTGTAACAAAAATAAATATTGGCTAACAACAGTTAGTTGGTTACTTGTTGGATGCATGGTTAATCACAATAGAATATCTTCAGCTTGGTCGCACAAATTTCACTTGAAGCGTGTGAATCGCACAAATGAATTGTGCAATTCTTCTGTTATAGGTATTGCTTGAAAGATTGTCAAGTCATGCATGATGGGATTCTTGAAAACTCTAATTGGAGGAGTCATGCCAGTTCTTGGTGGTCTTCTGCTCAAGCACTATGAAGTGACCCAAGAAAGCTTATGCTGATCACCATCATGGAATCTGTCAAGTGATAGACGGAGGAAATTGCAGATACCTGTTTGTTGGGAAAGAAACATGTAGTTGGGTTAGCAAGCTGGATTTCAGATTGAGAGGAGTGGTAGAAGGGGAAAAGATGCACGCTGTTAAGGTGGCTTTAGGGATAGAATGATAGGCTTCTTTTGTCAAGAAGCTGAACAACAAAACAATATGTATATTATTGATGTATGAGTGAAACAAAGTTCAAAGAATCACCCCCCAAGGAAGCCTCTCTCCCTCCACTGGTACAATTATCCAGTCTATACCCAAATGTACAAAATGACTAACTACTCCTATACAAAACACACTCTTTTTATAAACTCTCCCTTCCCCTTTCCACTTACTAACTAACGGTCAACAACCTTTCTGTCCTAACTGCTCTCTCATTTCTTCTTCTTTCTATCTTAAACCTATTATACCCTATCACCTTATATCCTATCATTACAGTCTGTTGTAGAACAACCTTGTCCTCAAGGTTGGAACCATGAAGCTTGATCTCATGGCTCCTTTTCATCATTGTGTTATCATATGAAGGGAACCCACTCGCCACTGTCCTCCAATTCAGGTCTGGAGGCCTGGGTGGTGGTCTATATGAAAGAATTATTGTCTCCTTCTGTTCCATTAATAAGAACTGCTCCTTTTCCAAGATTCCCTTGGACCATATGACTGTTCTATACTGCTTTTTGACATGTGACCTCTTACATTGCGGAGCACAAGTATTCTAGTTTGCTTCTGAAACTGTTTGCACTACTTCCATTCCTGAAGTTTCTTTTCTACCATCTTTACCTTTCACCAATGTGTGTAATATAAGAGACTAGTTAATAAAGATTTTGCAAGAAACTTGGAAATTCCTTTGTGGCCATTGCTAGAAGCTAGATCTGCAGGTGTTATAACCTCAGTAATTTCAGGAAATGGATCTGTAGCAGCCCTAGTGGATGCACCCATGGACACCTAGACCACAATTGGGTCACTCCCTGACACCACTGTTTTAACCCTAGACCTCATCAATTCTTCCCCTTTCTTCATTGTTTTGACATACCCACCACAACCTACCACTCTATCTTCACTAAAAACAGTAGCTTTTGCACCTTTACTTGGAGAAGCAAGAGTCACAACCTTCCCATCATGGTCTTCACCTCTTCACCTGATGTATTTTCCCTATCAACATTTGTGAATTATCCACCCTTACATCAACAACTTCTACCATTTTCTCCGCAGCATCATCGACATTTTCTCCATCACAGTTTTTGTCTTTGCCTTTCCCTTCACATATATTTTTTTCTCTCCTGTCTTCCCCTCTAATTCCTCTTAAACAATCAACACTCAAAACAACAGCTTCTGACACTCTACTCCCTGTTGTAATGGTAACAACATTCCCCTCTTCACTGATATCCCTTTCTCTTTTCTTCTCCCCATTGGTTGAATTTTCTCCTCCATATGAGGGTTTATTGGATGTCTTGATGTCTAGTTGACTACCTTTCACAACATCCCTCCCCATTTTTCCCTTTCTTTCCTTTCATGGCAGATTCATCACTTCTTGCTAATTTATTGAATCTTGATATTCTGCATCATTTCTTTTATTTCTTGGGTAGTTCTTCTCCATCTTTCATTACTCCGTTACTTCTTTCTTTCCTTTCTTGTTGTCTTGCAGAAATTCCTCTTTCCCTCCCCTTCTTGCTCTGTTAAGAGATTTCTCCCTTCTTTTTGAGTCCCTTTCTTGATTCTGGTCTTCCAATATCATTTCTTGGATATTTCTTCTCTGTTTTGCCAGCACCTTTTTCTGTTTGTTGGCCCACCTCTCCACAGTATTGACTTTTCCTTCCAAAGTATTGACTTTTCCTTCCAAAGTATTGATTCTTCCTTCCATCACATTCTCCTCCCTAAGGGAATCCGATAGTCCTCTCCTAAGGGAATCCGGTAGTCGAACCAAACTTGATAGGCTTCTTTTGTCAAGAAGCCGAACAACACTCCTCAACTCTCAAACACACACGAAAAGACACAAAACTGTATATTATTGATGTATGAGTGAAACAAAGTACAAAGAATCACCTCCACTGGAACAAATATCCAATCTATACCCAAATGTACAAAATGACTAACTAATCTTGTACAAAACACACTATTTATAAACTCTCCCTTCCCCTTCCCACTCACTAACTAATTGTCAATAACCTTTCCCTCTTAACCACCCTCTCATTTCTTCTTCCTTCTATCTTAAACCCATTATATCCTATCACCTTATATCTTCATAGAAGCCTTAGGATGATGGTACCAATGGGGGGAATCTTGTTAACCAAACCATCCTGGCAAGGGATCAAGAATGTTTTCATCCAAAGATTCCATCCCACTATGATAAAAAAGTCATTTTGAATTGGTGTTAGCTCTGAACAGGCCAGATCTGTGAACTTGTTATCACTCAATTTGAATTATATTTAGGGGTAATGGAGGCTTTTGAAGAGTAGTACCTGATGGACATGTTCTTGAACAACGTGAAGGATAAGATGCGTGAAGAGTTGAAGGATTTTGAATCAAGAAGACTGTCAGACAGGATGAGCAAAGCTCAAAAATAGAAATTTGCAGTGGCGAACACAGGAGGCCATCTTGGAGGAAGGGAGCTAGTTCTTATCAGATCATTACAAATAATAGATCCAATTGGCACTGGAATTTTAGCATCTGAAAGTGATTTGTATTTAGGAGTACTGCCTTTCAAGAGACTGTTAGAAGCAGAAATACGAGACAAGGTCAGAAAAGGGGAGTGTTTCAGGGTTTATGAGAAGTTTGGACATACCCACGTCTGCAAGATAAGCAGTAGAGAAGACTATGAGAGAATGGCACCCACTGTGGAGGTGTTAATTATGCAGAAGGATCTACCAGATGACGGGACTAGTTGGGAGTCAGCATAAGATATTGAATTTCACCTTGAGGACAAGTTGGGTTTTTAGGGGGGATTGATTGATTGCTGAGGCCTCGTATCAAGAGTGTCGAAAGTAGGAAAAATAGAAGGGACACAGGATAAGACTCTGAATAATTATATCAGATAGAAGCTACCTGTAAGTGGTTGGTTATTAATTGGATGGGTATGATAAAAAGCTAGTTGAGTTAGGAAGGGGTGTGATAGTTGATCATTGTCGTGGGGAGTGCATACCTTGTAAAAACTGATAATTCAGTTTATGTGCAGGCAATGAAGAATCTGTTTTCATGTTCTGATCCAGTTGTTATTAGCAATCTAGAAGGATTTAGTTTAACCGTTTGCAACACTCAGTTAGATTTGTTGGTTTTACTCCCTCCCACAGATGCTGGATATGATGTTCGTTGATGTTTATTTTATCCTTAATTCAGTGTTATTAAAATAAATATTGATATAATCAAATTTTAATATTTTTTTTATTTTCTTTACATATTTTCAGTAAAAATTAGGGTAGACCAGATAATTGTAAATGACCTTCTTGGAGTTTGAGTTAGAATAAAACATGAAGTTCTATAAGATTTGACATCACCCAGTAGTTGAGCCAGTTTACAAGGTACCCTATGTTCTGTTTTTGAAAGCTGTTGCTTCCCTTGTGATTTACGGGATATAAGAACTAATAGATTTAACATTTTCATTCTAATCTGAACTTTAAGGAATTTGTGTTACAAATTAGTTTTACATGAAAAATTGAAAATGGCTGAAACATCAAGGAGTTTATTTGTAGCTGATCTTGATAACTTTTTAATTTTTACTGTGTTGGAAGGGAAAATAAAGGAACTTAAAGGATTTAAACTGCATCACGAGGGAGATTCTAATCCTTGGAAATGGAGAGTTTGAAATGGAATGAAAGCAACTTCAACACATTTTAGTTCATGTGCATGGATGGTTTGCATTCTTGTATTAGTTTTTTTGACCCGAGGAAGCCAAATTTTTTACTTTCAGGATTTTTTCTGTCTGAAAATCCATTAAGTTACTTGTTCATGTTTTGATCTGGGTTATACTTTTAATTTCGTTAATTTTGAAAGTTGATGTCATTGTGGATAAGACTCTATTTGGGTGGATGATTTGGAAGGGAAAAGAGTTGGGGGGTAAACTTTTCATTTTTGAATTCATTAATTCATTACTTGAAATGAAATATTTTTAGTGTCTTCTCTCCCTTCCAAACCTCCATCTCAAATATATCGTCCAATTATATTTTTAGCATACTGTGCCACTAAAGGTGCATTCTGGAGATGGGATTACAGCTTATATGTTAGTTTTGGTGATGCCCTTCACGCAATCTTAAATGCAATACTTTCACATTGCAATTATTGAAGTGACACCTGTTTCTTATAGCCATTCTGATTGCAAGTGTTGAGGGATAACATTTGTGTTATTATGTAAAAGATTTATCAAAGTTTTCAGTTGTTTGCTAATTAGTATTGGGATCAAACATCTGCAGTGGATTATCTTCTTGGATTCTGAAGGGCGAGTCACAGATTCAGAAGCTTTGAGAAAAAGAGTATTTTATGGTGGACTTGACCATGAATTACGAAATGAGGTTGGTTTATCACGTATGTAATGATTTTGATGCTAAGCATTTTGATTATAAATTAATACATGTTCTTCATCGGCTAAAGCTTATATATAAATTATAGGTTTGGAGTTTGCTTTTGGGATATTATCCATATGAGTCAACATATGCTGAGAGAGAATTCCAGAAGTCTGTTAAAAAGTCAGAATATGAGAACATAAAGAACCAGTGGCAGGTTTTCATTTGCTCCTACATTCTTTTTAATTGATGTATTTCTCTTTCTGCTTTGATATTAATCACTTGAAAAATGTTTATTTATCAAAAGTTTGATGGAACTAATTGTACGGAGGTCTGTGTCCTTTTTTATACTTTGGATCCCAATGTTACAATATAGTCTGCAATACCTTTACTTCATAGTTTGTTTGCCAAATATGTAAATTAAACATCCATGAGGTGTTGAGTATATTGATGCGACTTATGATATAAAATCAAATATGGTTGTAAATGAGTTAGGTTTCGAGCATACATAGCAAAACCAGTTGTGGCCACATTGCGCTTTCATAAGGTGAAAGTTTTTTTGTCCAGGAACCATGTTTGATCCAAAGTTCCTTGGTTATTGCTACCACGTTGAACATTTTACATGCAACCATAATGAAAATATGGAGCTTACAATTTATTACATACCCTAACCCTACCAGTTACTCAAATATGGTGACCTTGTCACATTGTTTTTCCTCTAATTATGAATTCTAATAATGTATTTGCCATCTCTTTTAACATTGTTTTTCTGCTTTATTTCTATAAGCTGTCAGCTTAGTTCAAAATATAATTTTGTAATTTTTTTTTTCTCTGTAGAGTATATCCTCTGCACAGGCTAAAAGATTCACAAAATTCAGGGAAAGGAAAGGGCTTATTGAGAAAGATGTGGTAAGCTAGTGGAACAGATTTTAAATTTGAATGACTATGAACAGATAAAAGATGCTAATGCAGTTTTAATTATCTTGTACTTTTGAAGGTGAGAACTGATAGATCGATCCCTTTCTATGAAGGGGATGATAATCCAAATGTAAATATTCTACGAGATATACTGTTGACCTATTCATTTTACAACTTTGATCTTGGTTATTGCCAGGTAACTATGTCGTGCATTTTGGACTTAATTTTAATTGCTGTGAATATTATATATCTTGATTACCAAAATTTTGATCTTATTCTTTTTGGAAGTTGAGTCCTCATTTTTCCTTAAACAGAATATGTATGTAGTCACTACAGCAGGGATGGGTATCTTAATGGCTATTATCTTCTTAAACTATGTGTGTTTTGAAATTATGAATCATTATGCATCTTGTAGTTTCCATATGCTGTCTTACCCCCTTCCTCCTCTTGTTAGATTAAGCAAATAATATGTTATGTATTCACTACAACAAGGAGGAGTATCTTTGTGGCTATTATATTCTTGAACCAATTATATATTGAAACCTTGAATCGTTAGGCCTCTTTATTGTTTCCATATTCTGTCTTGCTCCTTCCCCTTGTTTGATTAATAAAGAATATGTTATGTATTCACTACAGCAAGGAGGTGCATCTTAATAGTTACTATCTTGAATCAATTATATTTTGAAACCATAAATCATCATGCATCTTTGTTTCCATATGCCGTCTTCTTCCTTCCTCCAATTCAAGAATTGGATTATTATCTCATATAGGTAGGGAATCTTATTTAAATGCTGTTTTAACAGGGAATGAGTGATCTTCTATCTCCAATATTGTTTGTGATGGATGATGAGTCAGAGGCATTTTGGTGTTTTGTTGCTCTAATGGAACGTCTGGGACCCAATTTTAATCGGGATCAAAACGGCATGCACTCTCAACTTTTTGCTTTATCTAAGGTTATTCTCTGCCCTTAACAAATCATTCAAGCACTGCATCATTAATCGTTATTTATTAGGTTGTTGTGTTTGTATTGGTTAACTTTACACTACTATATTCTTTTCACACTCTCGTCCAACTTTGCAAAGTTTTTGCTGCCAATCATAGTGATACAGTTGACAATGCCCCAGCACATGCCTCCAACCACCATTGCTTCCCTTTGTGACCATGGAACCAGCAGTAGCTCCTTACACTGCCCCACACGTTGCCACTCTCCACTTATAGTTCACAGGCATGTCCTTAATCCTGCAGAACCACTTTTCTGATTTCAACAACCACGCCCTCGAGTACCCCTTTGCTATGACGAGCCCCTCTACTCCTGTTTGGCCACCCCTACAGTTTGACATCGTTTTTCATTGCTTCTTCTGCTGACAATGCATCTCTTGTTGCTAGTGATAACTCTGCTGTGAGTTTCACCATCATAATCCCTTGTGAAAATCTCATTGGGTCAGCCAACTACATCATTTGGGATGCTGCTGTCAAGTTATGGTTCCAAGTCAAGGCTATGCTACATCAATTTCTTTGCCTTATGCTACTTTCGCATTGACTCATTAAAATTTGTGGCATTGGTCGAACTTACCCTTTTCAAAGTCTTACTTTAAATTGTCTTGTTTGTTCTTGGTTTCCATTTCAATTTTATTTCCATTTGCAAACTTGCTCCCGTCTGAATAATTTTGTTCTTGTTCTAGATTAGTTTAAGGGATTGTATCATCTTTCACCATCAGTTGCTTCTGTCTGTTCTACCCCTGCTGATCTCGCTCATCAATGCCCCGGATATTGCAATTTATAGAAGCTGCTTATTTAGTTCCCAGTCTCTCTTCACTTAAACTCTTCACTTAAAGTCTAGACTGTTCATTTACATAGTCCTCAAGTCAATAAATGTGTTGCATCACCTTTTGTTTTTGTTCACTTCAATATTTGGGGGCCTAGTAACCTTAGGATATTACTATCCTATGACGTTTAGTCATGACTTTTCAACTGATCTTGGGTCTTTCAATGAAAAATTGTTCTGATATCTTTTCTACTTTACAAATTTTTTGTACGAAACTATTTCTCGATTCGGGTCATCCATCAAAATTTTGCACATTAATGCCCACATATATGTCTTCCCAATTTCAGTCTTCTCTCAAATTGCAGGGCCATGAGACAATGGTGCCACTAATGCAAAAGTTGTCACCTAGTTGAAATAGTGCCTTCCGTTATTTATTTTCACTACAATGTTCCTCTTGTTTTTTGAGGTGATGTGCTTCCTATTACATCTTGATCAATTGCATGCCCTTGACTATCCTCAATAATCAACTTTGTATTTTATTTTGTCCAAAACAAGACCTTTACCTTCCTTGTTCCTCTCTGGTCTTAGGTTGTATAACTTCACTCACCTGTGGAATCTATCACATGTATTCCTAATATAATCAGCAATTATTTGTTTGACTCCAAATGACTTGTGTGCGTCTGTGCTTTCTTTTCAAGTCTTTCCATTAAATACACTGTAGGTGAATATCTTCTTTATTGTGAAGGTCAAATTATGTTCTATTCCTTTGACAGAATGTTCTTATACCAGACTGAGGTCTCTAGGCTTGGCTTGTGATATTACGATCCAATTATAAAGTCTGGACTTGAGTCCAACATTTGAAATTTGAGATTCTAGTGTAGGGTTTATAAAGGCCTTAAGTATTAAGTTTTTTGTTATGGTTTCCCCAATGTTCTTATCAATGGATATGAAGCTTACTGTCATGTCTCTCAATTGCGAATGAGTGTGTTAATGCAGAGTTAGCCTGCTTGGGTGTGTCAGGCCCATGGGCCACGAATCATGTTGAGAAATTAGTAATCTAATTGCGAGGGGTATGCAACACTGGAAATGAGATTTGGTGTGGGGTTTATATTGCCTGGGGCTTTTCATCTACAATAACTAGCTTTTGTTGGGTATTTCTTCAAGGTTTTTATTGGTGATTGTGTTGGCCATTGTAAACCCAAAATATTTCTTTGCTTCATATCGATTCATGTAACTAGATAGCAGAATAGGAATTTTATGCAATCGTATTTTGACTTGAGCTTTCTACAGCCAATGTCTGATGGTATGGTATCTAGCAGTCACATCCCACCTTTATAATGCTGCATTGAGTAACTTGGTCTCTACACTCTTTATATGAAATTTGAAACTGAGATTTATTACTGTTGCTTTAGCATTCAGAACTGATACATTTATTCGTTGTTGCAGTTGGTGGAGCTGCTTGATAGTCCATTGCATAACTATTTTAAGCAACGTGACTGCTTGAATTATTTCTTTTGCTTCCGGTGGATTTTGATTCAATTTAAAAGGTTGGATTACTTAAATTGTCACAATTCAGTAACTTTTGGTGCATGTTATATTGCATATGATGTTTAATGCTTCGGAGTGTGTTAAGTGTAGTTATTTTCTACTTACCTTCTGAAAATAGTTTTTGGATATATCAGCACAACCGAAGGGAGTTGACTATAACTAAGTTTTCTGGATAGACCAAAAGATCAAACATACATCTGAAATTTACTCTTTCGGTTGCTGCTAGTAATTAATCTCAGTTTGTGCCGCTTTCTTTTTGTGGCCAATGCTCTCTTACACTTTGGAATTATCGTGTTTTAGTTCTAAGATTTGCCAGAAGGATGCCATATTCTTGAGAGCATTTCAGACAGAGAGAAGAAGCACCCACTCTGTCAGATTAGAGTGACCAATAGTTTTATTGTGTTATCCATGATGAACAACATTTCTTAGGATCACTAAGTCTGGTCTCTTTTTATCTTGGTAGTTGTGTCCTCGACAGTTACAGAGAATGTTGGGGGGAATTATATAAGTTTAGTTCAAAGGTTACATGATAGGTGATTTTACTCGTGGAAAATATATACAAATTCACTTTGATGTAAGTTTGTTAGTGTTATAGGTTTGCTAATTTGCTGGCTGGTATAGCCTTGCGTAGAGTTACCTAAAGCATTTTATATAAATGCTTTTGACAACTAAAGGATATCGATTGATATTTCAGGGAGTTTGAGTACGAGAAAACAATGCGCTTGTGGGAAGTTTTATGGACACATTATCCGTCTGAGCATCTGCACCTGTATTTGTGTGTGGCAATCTTGAATCGGTATCGTGGTAAAATAATTCGAGAGGAAATGGACTTTGACACCCTGTTGAAGTTTATTAATGAGCTAAGTGGTCACATCGACCTTGATGCAAATCTCAGAGATGCTGAAGCTCTATGTATATGTGCTGGTGAGAACGGTGCTGCTTGTATACCCCCTGGAACCCCACCGTCGTTACCTGTAGATGATGGTTCTTTTTACGCCCTACAAGATGAAATATTGTAAATTAATTCACTTCCATAAATCTTTTTGTGGTACCTGAATGTATCAACCTCATTGTGTATTTCCTGATTCGTTTCAAATATATGTTGTTAGCATATTAAATGCATTTCTTTAGCCATATTCTGCCTTTGATTCAAAGCACGTCATTTATCAATTGCCCAATTTATTTATCGCTGCCCAAGAGTGGAATACATGTCTCATACAAGAAAAACAATTCACATTAAAATGAACATCATTTATATTAGATTTGTGTGTATGTGGTATTAATATTCGAGACAGATGTAACTATAACTAATGGCCGAGCAAGAACACCCATCCATGACCAAACCGGGGCTGTATTTATTCTTCTGGGTTAGTGCAATTGACCTGGATCATTGAATTCTATATTTTTAGGCTACGTCGAATTAATTCGAGAGTTACTGCCCAAAAGTTATCGGATGATCTCCCGATAGAATTAAAATTAATAAAGCCAATGCAAATCTTGCTATCATTAGGACGGAGCTGTTAGAGATGGTAGGAGTTGAGAGAATGCAACAGAGATGGGAGAAAACGAGAGTGATTTCTTATTAACAAAACAATGTATATATGTACAACAGTGAATAAAACAATGTATATATGTATAACAGTGAATAGACTGTTATCAAACAGTTAGAGTTTAGTTTTTATTCTCAATACACTCCTCTAAAACTAATCATATGTCAAAATTATAGTTGACTCTAGTGTCTTCTACAAACCTTTGGGATTGACTATTGCTATTGTGACTCTTACTTTCCCTCTCTGAGAGTATTACTTATCAATTCTCTTTTTGAACTTTGACTTGATTTTTTTTATTTGGTTTTCTTCGTCTTTTCTTTCGATGTTTGTTTCTTCTTTTACCATGCCTATGCTCATATTTCTAGATCTCCTCTTCTTCTGTCATCACCGACTCTATAGTTCCATAATTATCCTTCAGTCACAGTGTTAACAACAACAAAACAATGGACGTTAGCAGCAATTAGATTCACCTTGAACATTCGGTTTCTGGCAAGAGAGGCTTTGAGCACCAACTGCTGCCTTTCATCAAACACTTCGTCCTTGTTGCATAGTCACAGTGTATCCCTTCTCTAAGAATTGTCTAAGACTCAATAAATTTTATTGTTGGAACATACAGTACATCATCCATATATGCAACTCTGTTATTTTTGTCCGCGATTAAGACTCTGTCAATTCCTTCCGTTGTAATCGTGCTATCATCTGCGAATCTCACATTGCTTCTTATACTCGGATCAAGATTCACCAACCACTCTCTCCTTCCTGTCATGTGGTTAGAACACCCCATGTCCAAGTACCACGATGATTCATCCTCTTTTGAATGCGGCGCGTGGTTGCATGTTGTGTTGCTCTTGATTGCAACATGTGTTCTACAATACAATCACACCTGTTCAACGTATCCGTTCGGTATGAAGACAACACCTGACCGTCAACCCCCGTTAAACAACAATCTATCATTTTCATCTGTTCGGTCTCTAAACAGCAACCCTCATCCGTTCGGTTTAACGGTTGAACGAAAATAGCCGTCCAGTTTCATCATCGACTCCCATTCGGTCTGAAGATAGCAAGTCTGTCATCAACATGTTCGGTCTGAAGACATCTGTCGTTCGGTTTGTTCATTACCACCCGTTCGGTTTGAGAACATCACCACTTCTTCAACACCTGTGCGGTTTGAAGCAACACCTTTTCTTCAGCAACCGCTCGGTCTAGTAACAACATCTCTTCTACAGCAATCGTTCGGTCTGATGATAAAATCTCTTCTACAACAACCATTCGATTTTTAGACGACAATTGATATTCTTCATCGACACCCATTCGGTTAAAAAACAACATCTCTTCTTCAACACTCGGTCGGTTTGAAGACAACACCTTTTCATCATAGATCTTCGGGTTGAAAGCAAAAACCATCCGGTTTCTTCATCATCCAAGACGACAGCCGCTCGATTTCGTCTTATGTTACATTTGAAGATCGTTCGGTTTCTTAACTAGCTACACTTGAATACGACAATCGTTTGTTTTCTTCTTTTGCTACATTTGAAGATGACACCCGTACGGTTTCTCTATCATTTACATCCGTTTGCTCGAAAGGTGAAAACCGTTCGGTTGTGCACATCAAAATAACATGGTTAGACTCTGAATCGCATGCGTCTTGAACAAGATTCGTTGCCTTGTCATTCTTGGTGTTCTTTGTCGTTTCATTGTGCCAACATTCTGCATAGTAATACCCAAACTTATTACAGGTGTAGCATTGAACACTTCTTTTGTCCTTTCTTCCTCTCGTTGGTTTCCGCCTCTTTTGCTTTCGTTGCATTCTTCTCCGACATTTTGATTAGAAATGCTCATGTTTCTTCCTCCAGATCTGCCTCCCCAAGATCTGCCTCTGCCTTTTCCTCTGGGTTTGAAATTGCTTCAAACTTGTAAGGTCTGATTCAAACTCGTTTCATTTTCGGGTTTTTTTTTTCAAGCAGACGTTGTTCATGGGCTTCTAGCGAGTTCTGCAACTTTTCCACTTTCATGTCTTCCACGTTTTTTCTTTCTTCAATTGCTACAACAATATGATCGTACTGTGGGGTTAGCGTTCTCAAGATTTTCTCCACGATCTTCTTATCTTTCACCACTTTGTCGCACGCTTTCATGGTGTTCACTACCATTTGGATTCTTTCAATATAGTCAACAATAGATTCTTGTTCTTCCACGCCCAAGAGTTCGTATTGTCATTGAAGTGACTGTAGTTTGATCTTCTTGACCTTGTAGTTTGATCTTCTTGACCTTGCCTGTGTTGTCGTAGCCTTTTTGAAGAATGTCCCAGTCTCCTTCGTCGTGCCTGCCTTTGATACCTTCTTGAAGATGGTGGCCTACACGCATTGGTGCAACAACATTTGGGCCTTGCAGTCTAATTTCTTGTTCTCTTTACAATGTCGCTTTGTCTCTTCAGAGTCTCCGTTCAATGGCTCTTTAAAACCCTTCTTGACTACCTCGTCCACTTCTTGAAATCCAAGAATGGCGTCCATCTTCACACCAATTGTCGAATCCCTTTCCATCAAACACCGAAATATTACTGTTATCACGACAATTATTTCTTCTTGATCGGTTACTGATCTACCAGGTTTTCGAATCTTACTCTTGATACCACTATTAGAGATGGTAGGAGTTAAGAGAATGCAACAGAGAGATGGAAGAAAACGAGAGTGATTTCTCATTAACAAAATAATGTATATATGTACAACAGATAATAGATTATTATTAAACAGTCGAAATAGTTAGAGATTAGCTTTTTTATTTTCAACAGGACCATTACTAGTTTTGTGATAACTAATCTTTATCGAAAAATTTAACCTGTAATTAATCATCGTCGAAACGTCTTAGGTATTTCATTTCAATTATATTTCTTTTATCTATAATGTTTCAGTTTGAAAAGACTACTTAAATTAAATGAGTTGTTGATGTATTTTTAAAAAGTTAGAAAAAGTTGGGAAGGTCTTTTTCGTTGTTTTTCCTTTTCTATGTGGGAGGTCTACATCTTTATGGTTTGTTCCAGTGATGGTCGGGAAGCAATACAATGCATCGTGGTAAAACGTTGCTCCATAAAACGGCTCGTACGACTTCCTTACAGACTGTCTCCCCCATCAAACAAGGCCCTTTGCCCACTCCTACACCCGAACTTTTCTCTTTATTTTTTCTAATTATTGTTAAAAATGTTTTCAGAAAAATAAAAAATATAATAAATTATGAATAACAAACTACAAAGTAGACCTTTAAAATGATATTTAAATACATCTATATGTTTTCTTTTAATACAGTTAACAGAGCGTAGAAACTGTGGAGAGGAATATTCACTCCACACTAAATCTCGTAAATCATATGGGCGCAAATCTTTTTGTTAATTGTTGTTATTATCCTTACTCTTATTTTGGTCCAAGATCATATTAAGGAAAATAAAAGAAATTACATATCCTTATTCTTAAGGATAAACTTTCTGGGCATGATAATGGTCATTGCCGTAGGAGCTTCGTCGAGGTTACGTATATTTTTAATTAGTTTATAATAACAATATTTATAATAAAATCAGTTCAATTTGGTTGTATGATATATTATTCAAGTTTTATTAATAATTTAAATCATATAAACAAATGTATCATTGGTGGAATATTGAACTAAATGGAGAAGACAAAAGTCAATCATGTATATATTCTTATAAAATGGAAAGTATACTTTAAAAAAGCTTCAAAAACATTTTAACACTTCAAACCTTCAATCTTAGGACACTTGTTTTGTCTAAGAATATTAGTGCTTTTCAAACTGGACGGTGATTATGTATGTAAAAGACATTCTGATGTTCAAATTAATCAAGTGCATCAGCTAACCATAATTACAATAATTAATGAACATAAATTACATATCTCATAAAATGTATTATTTATAATATTATTTATTGATTTTTATCTGATGGATTTAAACCACGTGGTCCACCAACTTGTTTTATAGTTAATTATTGATTAGTTAATAGAAGGTAATTGATATGATATAGTCCTGGTTGAATAGATACATTTCAAATTCATGTCTATTCAGTAAGTTAAAATTAGGTCTTCTACTAACGTAACTGAGGAAACCTTACGTATACATCATAAATAAAGAGTTATCTTGTCATCATGTACGTTAGTATTTAAAAAATTTGAAAAAAATAAAAATACGTAATTTTTTTTATTTTTAATAGTTTATTATGATTGTTATTTTATAACTTTATTATTATTCTTTTGAATTTTATATTTTTTATTATTATTATTTTATTATATTATAAATATAATTAGGTATATTATGTTATATAATCTAACATAATACGTTTTATATTCTTTCACTAAATATGTAATTATGAAGTATTTATGTTGTTTTTAATTTGCTTATTTTCTTATATATGGAGGTGGAAAGTGAAAGTAATTATCTTTGTAAATCTATTGTTGTTTTTTTACTTTTAAAATCAGTAAATACAAACATAGTTTTTTTTTTTCATTTTCTCATTTGTGTGTAGAGTAAATACGTATAAAAAAATGAAGTACAAGAGATAAATACTATAA